GATTGAATCTGTCAATGTAAATGGAATGGTATATTAGAATTTAAATTTGTAAAAAAATTCCAACATATCTGCTCCATAAAATATTCAGCATAGTATACTTCAATATAACAATGATTTTGATATAAATATGAGATTAGATTTTTTTGTTTTTTATTTTTATTTTTTTAGTTACTAAGAGAAGAGATGACGAATCTAATAACTTAGAAAGTAGAAATTAATTATAATTGTATAACGGATTCGCATCAAAGGATTTCATCTCATCGTCTCACTACATAGTCACGAGCAAAAAAGAAAGCCTCTTACAATATTAAAATTCACATTTTGATTTATCTGAGTTGTTTGAATTGAGTCAAACATCATTAAAGAATAAGACATTAAAACACCCCTTAGACGTAGATGTTTGAATCTTCACTTTGTTAATTGAAATGTAATGATCTAAAAAACAATAAAGTAATTAGTAATCATTGCTCTATCCACTGAACTATGCTCGAATTAATTATTTAATATTCATTTTAGCTTGATTTAATATAAATAATATATAATGCAACCAAAGTGTTTCTTTATATCTCTATTCAAATCATTCTATACTACATAAAACATTTTTTTCTTCACAAAATGAACTATAACAAAATTTAGTTAAAATCAAAGGCATATACTTGAGTTTGTTTTCTATATAGACAATAATTGGAGGAGGTGGGACGTAATCATCCTTTTTGCTTATCATTTTCATAAAGATTTTTTTTTTAAGAGTTGAGAATGATTTTTTTTTCCCTATCCTAATTATAAGATAAAATTCAATAAATTATCAAAATAAATAGTAGATTAAAGACCCAATTAAGAGGATTTGGGATCACGAAGGTAGCTTCCAATTGGCAAGCCCATTTTATCAATTAATATATGCCCATTTAAAACTTGCATTCCCAAAGAGAATAATTTTACAAATTGGGTATCCTTTATTTTAATCAAAAAATAATATTCCAAAAGCATATAATATAAGTTCAAAATCTCTGAGTCTTCTCTTTCATATCTCATTATGCACTCTAAAATAAAGGGAAACAAAATAACAGATCAGAAACAAGATCCATCAACATTCACTGCTTTTGTCTCAATGCATGTACATTCTGTTTAGTTTTCTGCTGCCCTTTTTTTAATATTTATTTTTGTTTTAATTTCTGTTTGTTTCTCAAATTTTGTTTTAAAAATGAAAACTAAATTGGATTCGGAGCTTTTAATCAGTGTAATAGAATGTCTCTTGTTCATTGTATTAGAAAAAAAAAGTGTACAAAACCAACCAATCCAAAAATTTGAACTAAAGAAATGTTTATTTTATAGGCTGTCTATTCCTTTTTTTTTAGTATAACCACTAATTCTTTTTTAATATCAACGGTTAGATACCGATGGTCAACAACAACACTTTGTTGACCGCTATTAAATTTTTGACAAATAAAATAGAGGAATGCAAACTGAAGATAAAAAGAGTTTTTTTTTTTCATGGATGTTGACTTGACCATCGGTACGTAAGAGTATTTTTAATTTTTAATGGGACAGTAATCGAAAAAAAAAAAAAAAATTTGTGGGAATTAATGTTGTCGTTGTCATGTTGTCTATAGAGAGAAGGGTGGAGGCGTAGCTGTTAAAATCGTGTCAATCAGCATAAATTCCCAAATGCCCAAATTTGCCATAAGAGACATGATTAGAAGTAACGTGTTGGGGCTGTAACTAAGATGCCTTACATATATCATATTCTCACAAATATGTGATTAAAAGAAAAGCCCAAAATCGAAGACGATAGATTTGAGACTTCAAATTTACTCATGAAATGATAGTTCATATAATACCTACAAAATATTTGTTTTAGTCTTTGAACTTTCGATTTTGTTCAATTTAGTATTTGTACTTACAACTTTTAAAATGTGATTATTTTAGTTTTTATTTACAAAATTTTAGCACGAAATTTATATCCAATGAAAACCTTTAATATAAATTCATAGCTAAATTTCAAAAAATTTAATGAGTTAAGTGTCATGTTAAAATTATGATAAACGAGAATGAGATAAAAATGAAAATGAATTGACTGAATCAAAATGAACGGTTTGAGATTACAGACACTGAAATGAACAAAAGTTGAGTATAAAGACCAATAGACATTATAAAAATATAATAAAGAACGAACTAAAGTCGAAAGTAGGAGACCAAACTAATATTTAAATCGAAAATCTCTTAGAGAGAGAAGAAGAGTGATTTGTAGGTATAGTCCTTGTCTTGTGAAAAATCGTTTCCAGCTTTTGTGCTCTCTTTACACCTCAATGGAGGCCCACCCATTTTCCCAAACTCAATATATATACAACTTTACCATAATAATCCCATACCAATTCCTCAAGTATGCTTATCCAGTTTCCCCATTTTAAACTCATTCGCAACATTATCTCTTTTGCTGTACATTCATGTTTGTCATGTCAACTCCATAACGTTTGAAGGGTTGTATTGGAATTTTTATTTATGAAACCATTTTTAAAAATTAATTTAATTCTCTATGAATTTCCATTTACTTGAAATCACCATTTAGTAGTCAACGATTTGAAGTCAAAATAATAGTAAGAAAAAAAAAAGACACTTCCCTTCCAAACTTAGATCATGTGCAACTTTATCATCGTCGTCATTGTGTAATACATTTTTATTTTAACTTTGAAGATACAGTATTATACTGTGTTATAGTTAATATCGATGTATAGGATAGATGGGTAATATTAACAAGCAATATATCTTATATTGTCCAAATATAAAATCAATTCCATTAGTAGAATGATTTATTAAAATTAATAATAATAATAATAAGAATTATGTTGGGGCCTACCAAGAACCTGAGTTAGACCCAAGGAAAACATATTTTAGGCTTAGACTGGAAGAAAAGTTCGAGGAAGCAATCCAAAAAGAGTAGGTGGGAAAGTAATAGTGCGAGCACAACCACGATTCATGTGCATTGAACGTGTGAAGCACGCACGATCGTGCGTATTGCACGACCAAGCGCCCACAACACATCTCATCTACTTCTCTTAAGCTCATTGATTGACCTAAACATCTAACTGGTTGACAAACACCACACCGATGTTCGTTACCTCACTTTCTTTTCTTTATAGCTCTTGATTATCCCAAGCAAAAATCTACCCACCCTAGACAAGACCATTAGAGGTACTCGGTCCACCTAACCTTAGTCCGATTTATTGTTTGGTTACTTGCTCTAACCCCAGTTCAACTGCTTCTCCAAATTTTTGCATCAACAGATTCGATGTGATTATATATTATATTCTGGAAGATTTCCACGAGTGCATTTGAAATCCTTTCAACAGTTTCAGCAGAGTAGAAGATAATTAACCTTCACTTGAAAACTAACTTACTAGTTTTGTCACTTAAGTCAAATTATTTTATCAATATTTTTCTTTCCAACAAAAAGTAAATCTTACATGATCAAATTTGTTTATTAAGTCTAAAAAACAGCTGTTGCCTGTTAAAGATGTCAACAGAATTTGTAAAGTAAGAGTCACCCCAAAAAAAAAAAAAAAAATCCAAATCTCGAGTAAATGGGAAAGGGGAGAGAATAATTGAATATTCTGCCCAAAATTTAAAGAGTCAACTATGGGTTGCTTTTATTAGTATAAATCCTCATCTTTTGTGATTAAGTGTAATTATTTAACCAGTTAGCTTTTTGTGATGCTTCTTTTAAGATCATCATACATGACTATGATTGGAGAATTTCTCGTGTGTATTTTTTTAAACCATAAGATTACTAATAATAGATTTTTATAATATAATCAAAGAGATGGTTATGAATTAATCAGAATCATTAGACAGTTTAATGCGTTTTCCTCGAAGCTTCCCAAGAGAGAGAATGGGATTTCCAATTGCCATTTGGGCAAATGGGTGGCATTAATTCTGTTCTAATTTGCATGTGAATTAAATCTGTGGAATCTGGTTTTGTCCACCCTTACAATTTTCGTTGACCCAATTTTTGATTAGTGTTGAAAATTAGTGGAACCCCCTCTCATATCCAAAACCTAGTTAGATTTAACTGGTTGAATTTTTATACAACGAGAATTTATTATCTTATATATATCTTTTAGAAAAGACATTTGGAAGTGAAGTAAAGATACAGATAAACAAATAGCCAAATAGTGATACCTCAGATTGTAGATTCAAATCTCCTCCATTTATGGCCAGCGACAGAGCAACAGCATGGATCTGGCAAATATTAAAAAGAAAAAGGATCAAACAGAAGATGTAATTTTATTCCAGAAAACAGGTATTTTTGTACTAAACGGGAAAAAAAGGATCAATGCGACTTCACCATTTATTTTTTTCCTTAATAATTGGGAGTCGGAGCTTTGCTTTCCCATGCCCAAGGACACCCGCGATCGTTCCAAGACCTGGACCCAAGAGACATCAAGCGTTATACCTTCTGATCTGACTCCTCTCCAAAATCCTGCAAGCCCATACAAGGAGTATTGGGCTGAGAAAATAAGATGTAGGAGTTTGTTTAATGGATCATTACGAAAATATATATGTGGGCCTGAAAGTGAACAAATGGAAATAGAAAATGAGCCCAGATTAAAAGTAAATGCCCATGACAGACCAAGCCATCATTACCCTCGCCCAACCTCAGACGAGAGGCATCTCAATGTGAGATACTACCTTCTCAACAGCACAAGAGGAACCAACCATGTTCCTAAAGGGATTATTTGAGGGGTTGAACACCGTAGGTAGTGATTCTTAACCTTTTGTCGAAATTGTAATGCCATAACCAGCTAAAATATGTTCAAGTAACAATAATATCTACATTCTTATATGTATGGAAGAATTTAAAAGCTGTATTTCGAACTTGTATTGAACATTATTAAGGAACAAATATATTTTAAACTTGCATCTAGCCGTTATGGTGGCTACTGAATAACTTTCCCTTCCTCTTTAGTCTGTCTTATGGAACTGTACAAGAACCAAAATACAATCAGCACAGCAACCAAACGGGCAGTAGTTCTGTCTGCAAATCATCGACAAACAAGAATCAGAAAATCATTGAAATCCAAACATAAGCATGAAAGGGTCAATCTATTCACGATAACATTAGCAGACCCACAAGAATTATATTCACAAACATACAAAAGAATAAGCAGTAAACACGAGGGGGCAAGGTTTAGGCAACTAGGCAAGCACAGTTATGAGAGAAACACAGATTGATGTGGAGAATGAGAAACACACATACATTCACGCATCGTAAATACAAAGACATATTTATAATTGAACATCTACAAGAGAACCAGACCACCAAATTTAGAAACACTAGATTGCTTTATGCAGATAAGATGGCACTTAATTGCCAGTGCCATCAAATTTAGGCAAATTATCTTGCATACTATGTATATCACCGATCAATTTGGGCAACATAAAAGCTAGACCTAAGACCATGAACAAGGGTAATCCATAATAGCAGGTTATTTCAGGTTGCGGCTTCTATAATCATACATCCCAAACAACACTACTGAGCAGAGGAAATTAACATAGCGGCATACCTTGACATCTTCTCTGATTACGTATTGAGGTGAAAATATTCCCTGGTTAAGGGAAAGAGGCAATCGAAGCGTAATTGAAAACTTTGTATTACTTCAACTTCTTAACAGCGACAAACAACAAGTAGACCATATATGCATTATTGTAATGTAATTTGAAAATAAAGGAATGGCAGAGAAAATCTTGAAGCGAAATGAGCTGCAACCGGCGCTTAAACGAGAGAGATGAAATTAGGAAATTGAACTCGCTTACCCCGATGACTTGAGAAAGCTGCAATGCCGTTCCCGCGGAAAAATGCGATAAAATTTCTGGCCTAGGGCTTTGTTTGGATACCTTCTTTAAAGCATTGCCATAAAATTCACGAAGTTTCTGAAATAGTTCATAATCGGTATTTCTGCTGCTTTTTATTTATGCTACTCTTTATTTCTTTGCTTTTATTATTTATTATTATTATTATTATTATTATTATTATTATTTCAACACGAGCTTAGTACTTAACGTTACTTTCTTTTCCTTTTTTTTTTTAAGGACTTAAGTACCTTATTCATTTTATAAATGCTAGAGGTCTAATTTCTATCACCAAAACGAACATAGTTTAGTGGTGTTCGTAAGTTCGAACTCCACCTCCACATATTGTATTAAAAAAAATCCATCAACGTTTTTATTGTACGAAAAAAAAGACAATGTATAAATTCGAACAGTAAATTTAAAATTTTAAAAAATAATGTAAATTACAAATTAATACACCAGCTAAAAGTCAATTTTGTGACTTGTTTTTGAAATAAAAAAGTAATTATATTTTATAAAATATACAGTGTAATTTCATCAAAATATAAGAGATATGTATTTTTCAACAATTACATGATTTTAAGATATATTTTAAATGATAATAGGTGTTGTTGGGGGAATTTAGTAAATATTGAAATACAAACATGTAATCAATTAGGTTGACGTCAGAAATTCAAGCCCTCTGCGGTGTGTATTTCTTTATCAACTACCGGTGCAGCAAGTATTCTCTGGCATGTCCCCTCTAGGATACAACAACCCAACTGAAACGTTGTGTAGATCGCTCTTAAAAAGAGCAAAGTAGATAAAGTAACAAATATAGAAGATATGTTGAATGAGTTGTTTTTTGAGAGTTTAGGAAGTGAATTATTTATTGGAAACTTGCATGTAGTAACTTAATAGAAAATTTAATAAGTTTTTTTCAACTTCTTTTAAAATACGTCTACAAAATTTGATAAAACATCTCAATCCTTAAACTCTCAAATTAAATAAAAAGAAACTCATATTAAAATGTAACAAGAGATGTCTTATTTATCTAGTCATATTCAGATTGAATATAACTAGGAGAATTGATCATTACTTGAATAAGATAAGTATGATGTGATAATAGATCAAGTATTGACATTGAAAATGTACGATGGTGTATCGCATCCTAAAATAATATATAGTATGGTAATTTAATTGGTAATAAATACAATAACATGTAGTTAAAAGGAAAAAAAAAATTCCTAATAGCACATACTTTTATTTATCTTAATAATATTCTATGATATGAAAAGAATAATAAGGTTAAGATTGTATTATCATACTTTTTAAAAGAATGTTATATTTAAGGAGAGATAAATGAGCAGCGGAGTCAAAGTTGAGTTGTCGGAGATTGAGGCAGAGACTTAGAAGATATGTCGGTGGACTTGTGTAGCCCCACGACCTGGTGCTTAGTTGGTCCCGTCAAGTTCTCGAAACCCATGTATCTCGCAAAAAAGTTGGCTCTGATGGCTGATGCATTTTATGCATCCAAATTAGTTTATTCCAATGTTGTTAAGCATGTAGATATAAATGTGCACACCAAATGTAGTGATTTTGAAAGTTTGAATACCGTCAATGTAGTTGAGGCTACTGATGACGATAGTTTTGGTGGGACCATCTTCATACATGTTGACGTGGGTCGAGGTGAGTTCAAATCTCCTCCTACCTAAGAAATTGATTAAGAGATAAAAGTAGTATTGTGTATCATAAGTTCATATTTCAAATTCATGAACTAAAAAAATCCTAATGGTACTAAAAAAATTCCTAACTTTGTCTCGAATAAAAGATTTGGAAAAAATATTTTCAAATATTAAAATTTTGCACTATATAATATTTTGTTGATCGCTGGCGTCTGGACTTTGAAACATCTGGATTTTGGTTTCCTTTGTCCTCCCGTTTATCCCTCAAGTCGAAGAATCGTCGTCCATCTTCTTATTGTTATCCAAACCCTAGCTACGGAATTTGATTCTCGAAGATCATTCTGATTGTGAAGCCACGGAATTTTGTCACCATCTTCTTCGACTATCCAAACCCTAACCCAATGCATCCGAAAAATCAACAACGTCTTCAGATCTTCGTTCATTCTCCCGACCTCCAAATTCAATCAAAAATCCTAAACCTAGCACGAACTTCCGCCCAAACCCTAGAGGATCTTAAATTCTCTCTTCTCCCGCAAACGCTTGCTCCACGGTCTGCGTCATCTTTCTACTTCACCTTGAATGGAAAACCCCTCCTTGATTCCACCCCAGTTACCAGTTCTCTAATTTCCCCTCTGTCCACCTTAATTTTAAGAACCAGGATCCATGGCGGTGGTGGTGACGGCGGTGCAACCGGGGCCGAATCCCGTGACTGCTACCTTAATATGTACGCAGAGAAGAAGCCCGATAAGGTCGACCCAAACGAGCAGAGGCTGTCCAAGTGGTTGAACTGCGCCCTTTCTAACGAGCCTTTGAGGGAACCTTGCGTGATCGATTGGCTCGGAAATGTCTTTAATAAGGAGTCGCTCGTGCAGGCTTTGCTAGAGAAGAAGCTGCCAAAGGGATTCGGGCATGTTAAGGGTCTGAAGGATATGATCAAGATAAGTCTTTCGGCAATTCCTGGTACAGAATCGGGTAGCAATGCGATTTCAGGGCCACGGTTTCAGTGCCCGATTACTGGGCTCGAGTTCAATGGTAAGTACAAGTTTTTTGCTCTGAGAACTTGTGGACACGTTCTGAGTGCAAAGGCCTTGAAGGAGGTTAAATCTTCCTCATGCCTTGTCTGTCATGCTGAGTTTAAGGACAGAGACAAGTTAGTGATCAATGGGAGCGAGGAGGAGGTAGCAGTACTGAGAGAGAGGATGGAGGAAGAGAAATCAAAATCAAAGGAGAAGAGGCTGAAGAAAGTGAAGAATGGGGAAGTGGGGATGAATGGAGATGTGAGTGTGGATTTGGCGTCATCCCGTTTGTCTGGTAAAAAGCATGGTATTGAAGTTAAGGCATCGGAGAAGGTTTCAGCTAAGCTTGAAAGGAATGAGCGGCCGGATGGTGGTATTCAGGTAAAGGTTGCAGCAAATAATGGTGCTGTAAAGCGATTCAAAGCAGCAGACATGGCCCCTCCCAATGCTACCAAAGAAGTCTATGCTTCGATATTCACCTCATCCAGGAAGTCAGATTTTAAGGAAACGTATTCTTGTAGATCTCTTCCACTGGGTCGGAACTGATCAGTGTTAAGAATTGCCTTGTTCTGTTTATGGCGATTCTCCTTATATTGTTTATGTCTCGTTGTTGCTAATTGATGTAAGATATGGCCTATTAGTTTACATTCATTAACGACTGTTGCTCTGTGGAACTGTTTTTCAATCTTAGATCAGTCCATGTTCTTGGAAGTCTTGCGCTGATCAATCCCGTTTCTTATCAACATCTGAGTTCATGTTTGAGGTCTTGAAAATAAACCCCCTGATGGCTGATGGAGTCTCTTCTTTGTATATTTTGAGAGTTAATTTCTTCTGTAGGAGGCGTACCTCTTTCTTTGTTGTGTTATATATCAATATCTGCTGAATATTATATGCTGAGATATCCCATAAGGTTTCCTTTGTGTGTGTCTGATGGGATTATGGCAAAGTTTGTACTTTGTTCAGATGTATTGTTCTAGAATTCTTTAACTTCTTGTGTTTCTGACTTCAGATGTATTGTTCTAAGAACTCTTTAACTTCTCGTGTTTCTGACTTATCCCTATTCCCACATCATGATAAATTATAGCTACTTTATGTTGTCTTTATTGGATTATAAAGCTCTGTTGGAGCTGTGATCTGATTCAGCCAACTTTGATATGCCTTCTCGCTTGATATGCTGTTAGTCTTCTCCTTTCACTTTAATAAGGCAACTGCTCACTGATCCTGAGCCTAAGTTCCATACTCCTAGGATTTAAAGTATGGTTTTGAGCCTAAATTTCATACTCATTTGCATTCCAACATCTATTCATTTTCGTGAAATCAATTACTCTTTTGATTAACAATTCAATAGAGGTAAGGTTGAAGACATTTTCATTGATGTCGAACTCTCGAAATTTAAATTTTCAGATATGATTGTCAACCTTCATCTCAACTGTTTTCTGTGATTGTTACACCCAATTGAATCAACCTAGAGGAGTTTGCTCTACGTTTTTGTGCTTCACATGTAGGATTGCAATTCTATTTATTTAAACCAAGACATATTCATACCCAAATGACATGAAATCTCCAATCATATCAAACAAGTAGTATAAAAACTCAACTCCAATGTGGATCATCCTCGCCAAGAGGCCCATAATCCACAGGCTAACCAAAGCCTAGTTTGGTCTCGATCCATGCTCTGGCCAAAATCAAATTTTAGTTTCCCTGTATTCGATTGGATATAGACCATTTTTAGCGAAGACCACAAAACAAAGCTTGTGAAAGGCTCCCAGTAGTAATACCTTTGATGTCTCTACTCATGAAAGGATCAATTCAAATCTTACTTTGTCTTTAGATGGGATCCAAGACTCGTTCATGAAAACTTTATCTTCGCTAATATGCAAAATCTTGCTCAAAGTGCGAACGAGAGTTGCAACAAAAGTCTCTAACCTCCTCGCAAAAGGATTAAGAAAACATAACCTTTCGTGGTAATTATGATAGACTTGTTATAAATAAAGTAGTCGGGTGAGATAATTAAATGTGAGAATAAGTAAGATAGTTGGGTCTGAGTTAATCTGAACGTAACTCAATTGGTTAAGACATATATTTCTGACTAAAAAAGTCATGAGTTCGAATCTCCAACCCCACATATTGTTGTACTAGAAAAATGTAGTTGAATATGGTTTAGAGGTAGACACTCTTCCAAAGTTTTGGCTAAGCGGTAGACCTCTCAATGGGAATGCATATCAAATAATTCTCTTTTTAATGTGGCCAAGGGGTTGGTCATTACTCTATTTGCATCATCATCCATGAACTACAAGTGTCATTTTAGATTGATCAATTTAAAACCAGTTGCTCAAGCTAATGCTTCTCCCTTAAGTATAACTTCCATCTAGTTTGTTGTTAGAAAATAAGACCATGGCCAAATATTTACTGTTAGCTATTTTTTTAGAGCGATGTTAAAGAATTGTTCGAACTTGTTTAGTGAATAGAATGTTATTAAAAGCACGAGTTCTCTATAAGACGAGACCCCTTGCTTTTCAACTTCCAAATAGTTATTTCCCCCTTTGATATTTTATTTAATAAAATATATAAATGTGTTCTATTTCATGCATATATATATGAACTAAATTTCACTTCACAAACAAAAATATGTCTCAAGTCTTTTAGAGACATTAATGAGTTTTGTTATCTCCCTCCTCCCATTAGCATTGGAATAGGGATTTACATCACTGTAGATTAATTTTACTCAGTAACTTGTAATATATATGTTGCCTTAATTATAAACTTATAAAACAAGTGTTTTCTTTTTGAAATATTATGTAACAATCTATAAGTATAGTAAATTTCACATGTATTAAAAAATTGGGAAAAAAAATCAATTTTTATATCTTTTTTTCTTTTTTAAACTTAGGAAGGTGTATTAATTTTTTGAAATTGATATATTAAAATATTCTAAAACGACAATAAAATTAGTTTTTTGGAATGAAAATTATGAATTTTGGTAGATATAAAACTAGGTAAAGCTACTTTTAACGTGGTCCAATGTGAGTCTATAGTTATTTTTCATGATTTTTTTCTGTCATTTTCTTTCAAATATTAATAGATGTTTGCTTAAAAAATATTTTTGAAAAACTTTTGAAAGGATAATTTGTGCTCTCCAAAGAGTAGGTAAAGTTCAGATTCTTTATTTATTTATTATTATTTCTTTTTTTTAAGGTAGCTAATTTTACTCATTAATTTATATAATTTGTATATGGAATTAATTATAATTTTATAAACTTATAAAAACAACTTTTTTTTTGTTTTTTAATTATTATGAAACTTCGAAAAAAAGTTTACATTTGAACTCACATATCAATTTATTTTTTATCGCATATAAGTGTCGATTACCGTTGAGCTAAACTCATGTTGGTAAAATACAACACTGATCTAAATTTAGATTTAAACAAGATGGAATAAAAAGTTTAGACTAAAAAGTGAAACACTTGATTGGATTTTCAACCCAAAACTTTCATCTTTTTAAGACATAAAGTGAATTAAAACAAAAAATACGATGAATATCTCCATTAAATTGTTGACATGTGACAAAAAAGAGCAAGATAATTAAAAAACAAAATTTAAAAACTATTAAATCTTTATCGGTATTGATGGCAGATAAACCTTACGCCATGTTAAGTTTAAGGAATGAGAATAATTTTTTTCATTCCTTTTTACCGAATCGTAGGAATAAAATCAAATTTGGTAATCTCATCTTAAAAAGATAATCTCCTTCATATCCTACAACCTCATTAATCGTGTCCCATTCTCATTTATCATTTCGTGGGCCTGACACACTAGTTACTTTACTACTTTTATCATTTCCCTCTCATATGTATTAATCATGGTGTCCATGTATCTATGAGTTCAACATCAACACGAGAGATAAGTCGGCATTTCTATAATATTACAAAAAAATGACAAAATATGAAAAACATCAACAAAAGTTCACTAATATATACATAATATTAATCATTCTTAACTTATTTAAAATTGGTAAAACGATTACTTGTTAATTTAAATAATTTTTCGAGTTTTTTTTAAATTTTTCTAGAAATATCCATTGACAATATTTTATCAATATTTCAATCGACATTTCCACGAAATTGAGACTTCGACGATCCATCGACATTGACATTTAAAACCGGTATTAACAAGACCCATAGCTTGTTTAATTAATTATTTTATATTTTGATTATTTTTTTCCCATTTATACTACTAATAATCTATCTTCAAATAAAAATTTATGAAACTTGATAGGATTTTATCATAAAATATATTGATTTGTATTTAATTTGTTAATGTTGTTTTGTTATTATTAATTAATATCAATAATCAGTTTAAAAGTATAATTCATTATTATTAAATATTATAATAAAAAATTTAATAGTATTTTATATTAAATGTAGGTTGTTATAAAAGAGAGTATTTTATTTTAATTATTCATTATTTATTAATATTAAATAAATTGTCATAATAAAAAATATTTACTATCAATATTATTTTTGTTTACCTCCGCGAGTATTTGTGCCAACTTATGCACATCTCGACTAATGGAGATAGTCATCTGATCATATAACAGTACCGAAAAATACATATAAATTATTTACTATAATTATAAGTAATATAATAAATTTAAATTTATTATTATTATTTTAATTAAAAAATATTAGTACAATAACGTTTAGAAATAAGAAATTGGTATACTAGTAATTGTTATATATCTCATTTTGATTTCCATTACGGACAATTTTGATTAAAGAATTCTGATTCCGATTCTATAAAATTTATGATAAACATCACATGAATGACATTTCCATTTTGAATTTCATTTCAATTCATTTCTATTTCGATTTCTACTAAATAAACTGACCTTAAACATTTTTTTGTTTTTTTATTTTGAGAAATATAGGAAGAAAATATATAAGGGTTAGCTTAGCTTTGTTGAAAAAATCATAAACCTAATGGAAAGAGGGGAAGAGAGAGAGAGAGAGAGAGAGAGGAAAAGCAGTGTAGGGGAACTCTTGTTAACATGACAAGCAGAAGCCTACATTGCCACACTCCTTAAACGCTCGCCTCCAGGCTCCAGCTCCATCCTCAGCCTTCATCTTCTCCTTCAAATCTCTTCTCTGCCTTCCAAATTCCCTTTCCCAGATGGAGGACGACGACGAGTT